AGGGCAGCCAAAACAAAACAAAATCAAATTTATGTTAATGAACGAAATAGATCCCTCGACCTCATGAAGGTCCCAAAACAGATTTATGATCAGTCTCTGCCTCTATTTAGTGAAACAATATAGGGAGAATATTATCAAATATCGTTATACAGAGGTACTTACCCTAAAATTTTCATTAACCCATAAAATATCCTTACATTTTGATGAAAGTCCAAAAACAAAAACAAACAAAAGAAAACAAACATTTTTCACCAATATCAGCTTGATTAACTGAATCCGAAGACACTTCTGGGAGATCGAGATGCTCCAAAGAAGGATCAGACACCTTGGCCTTGCCATGATCAATCGTACCACCTTCCAAATACTAATTCAACACGTCAATACGTGCCTTCACATCCTGCAGACGGATCTCGGCCTCTCTCTCCACCTTCATATCCCTCAACTTTCTCTTAACCACTTCCAGCGATTTCTCGTACTCTCGAACAAGAGATATAAAAGCACGATGAGACTCCTTCTTAATCGCCGCCTCTCGATTCTTGAACTCTCTCTTGAGCTTCTCCTCCATAGATCGAACATCTCCCTGGAGCGTGATCTTCGCCTACTCAGCTTCCAACACCCTATTTTCGAGAACAAAATTTTCCCTCTCGAGCTCGATTGACCTATCCTTCAACCTCCGAATCTCCTCGACGCGTCTCGAATCCAGCTCCTCTGCTTTCGATGCAGCAACTATCAGATGTTAAATCACGTTCAGAAATGCTTCGACGTCTTCCTTGCCGGGAAGATCAGCTAAATGCTTCTACATCACCGCGGCATACTCGTTGCATGTCTCTATGGCCTGGCGACAGATAAATTATTAGAGACCAAAAGAACAAACACGAAATCAAAACGAATCACTCACCTTGGCATTCACAACCGCCATACGAACATATTCTTCTCGAGTACGCATATCAGCTAATGGAGGTAGATCGCAACCTCCTGGCCTAATTACATGCCATATCTGCGTGAGACGTTCAGGATCTTCGGGAAGGCCTCCCCCCACATCAGTTCGAGGCGCCGGAGGGACAAACGCAGGTCAGTCGGAATCAACCCTCGACTGACCACCTCCAGATGCTCTTCCATCTGAAGAACCCCCAGGAGTAGACGAGTTTGTGCTCGCATAGATTATCTTTTCGAGATGGTGATGACGAGCTTGGTAGGTAAGTCGCGGTGCGACTACCACCAGAACGATTACCCACATACTATGATGATTGAGTCGAGACCGTTTGGTTCTCAGCCAGCGGAAGAGCAATAGCCAGCGGTTAAGCCAGGAACGCGGGAGGTCGAATATGCGAACTCGAGCAAAGTTTAGGACCCAGGGAAGATTTTCAAACCCTCTCCAACGTCCCGACCTCGAGAGCCGTCAGGAGAATGACTCCTTCTCCTCACTCCTACAAATAAACGAAACATTGAAAACACGCACACAGTCATGAGAGGAAAGGGATTTTTTAGCACTTAAAGAATTCGAGGAGAAGAAGAACTCACTAAAGCGACCACCACGTGGACGAACCGGATTCTCTAAACCAACAGAGTCGGTGCGACCTCGTCCCGGAGGAGTAGCAAGAGCAACCCGAATACGCTGCACGGTGAAGGTAGACCAACGAGTTTGACCTCGGCGTAGAGTCTCTATCAAACCTTGAAGCTCGGGCATCATCGGAGCGTTCCCAAGGTCTACGTATTAAAAAAAAAAGAGCCTTAAGATAGTGTAGTATGAACGCAAGGATTAACGCCCAATATAAATTAAAAAAAACCTATATCTCCTGACCAATCGCGGGGAAGCCACTTGAAGTTGAAATCTCCGACCGAGGCCGAGTTTATCTTGAAGACGGAATTTTTTTCTCTCAACATATCGTCACGACCAGGAATGCCTTCAATGATAGTACGACCATTACGGGGAGAAAGAAGGAAGGTTCCGGGGAAACAGGAGTTATACTTAACCGCGAAGAGCTGTCTTAACTCCTCTAAATCGATCTTAGACCTTCTTTTTTAGCTTGAACCCATAAACCTAAAAAATTGCGAAAGAAGTTGGGACACATGCGAGTAAAAGCCTTCCTCATCTCAGCGATATCTTCAAGGAGGAACGAAGAAAGCGGGAACGACATACCGCAGTCTTTGAAGTGTGTCACGTAAGCGCCGCAATACCCCTCGTGAACTGTCTCGGGAGTTTCGTCCCCTCCGCGGTGTCGATTTGTACATTGTAGGGAATTCCCCAAAGTTCGTGGATGCCGTCGAGATGTTTTCCTTCAATGATAGTAGGAAGATGAGGGGCAAATCTATCGTTTGCCATTGGTGTATCGAGAACCGAGAACAAAGTAAAAGAAGAGAGAAATTCGAAAGAATCGCGAGAAAACTAATCCTCTTGGTGAAGAAGACGACTTATTTAATGGAGATCTAAAAACGGTTCCCAAAGCAGATGACGTCGACAATTAACCTCGAGAAGGGGCCGACAAGAGTGATACACGTGGCACCGCGCTCCCCGAGATATGCGAAGACAGACGGTTGGATGAAGTAGTCCACCTCTTCAGTTTCTCCAAAATAAAAAGGCTGGGAGGCAAATGTTGGACCCAAAATCGGGCCCATGAACTCGAGGTCCATCGAAAGAGTAAATAAACAGGCCCGCAAGGAAGCCAAGGAATAAAGCAAGAACGAGGCCAAGGCCAGTAGTCGTAATAAGGCACAGGCCCATGTCATGACGTCGCATCGTGGTCGACAAACGGTACGAGGTCGAAGTGGGATCGCAGAAACAGTTAAGAGGAGGAAGGGACTATAAAAAGAGAGAAAAAGTGGAGTACAAAACACACGGAAAAACCCTAGAGTTATTCACTAATCACATCGACCTCATTCTTAGTTTTCTAGTTCTCCTTCTTGTACCTTTTGTTGTTATTTCCGATCTTGTTGATCACTTTGTAAACGAATTCCATATTCAATAAAAGTTTATTTTTGTCAACCGAAGTCCGATTATATTGTTGTGTTTAAGAGCATCGTTGCCCACATCCATTGTATTCCTCTTATTGAACTCTCGATCTCTACAAAATACTGAGTGTGGATTTTAGGATCTACACTCCCAGTCTTTAATATCAAAAAAAAAAGATTTAAGAAAAACTTTGGTTAAGGTGATACCTTCCTTATCACTTCATGTAATGATAATGTCATCCACATATATGAGGATGACTACAATGCTTCGTTGACTGGTGAGAGTAAAAATAGTGTGATTAGCTTCAGACTTGTTGAACCCTCTTCCATTGAGAGTTGTACTTAACTTATGATACCAATCTCTTGGTGATTGTTTCAACCCATATATTGCTTTCTTTAGTCTAAGCACATTTCCTTGTTTGACAAGATATTCCAGACCTAGAGGTGATCTCATGTAAACCTCATCTTATAATTCTCCTTGAATAAATACATTTTTGACATTCATCTGCCATAGAAATCATTTCAGGTTGACTGTCAATGATAACAAAATCCTTATGGTGTGAAGTTTTGCAACTGGAAAAAATGTATCATGATAGTATTCTCCATTTGTCTGAGTAAACCCCCTTGCTACTAGTCTTTTCTTGCACCTTTTTACTTTCCTATTAGCTAGGTATTTAATGGTGAAAATCCACATACTTGTCACTGCCTTCTTGCCTTTTAGAAGTTCAGCCTCATACAAAGTATTGACTATCATAGCATTGGTTTCATTTCCAACAAATTCTCTCTACTGTTCATGATCCATTGCTTCTTCATATGACCTTAGGATATACTCCTGATCCATTTCACCAATAAAACAATGCGTTCTTAAGGTTAATGTGTCAATAATCATGTATCTTGTATAATGTGAGCAAATGCATTGCTGTTGAAGTACACTTTGGTGTTTATCCACGTGGATGGTTTCTTCACTCTTGTACCCCTCCTTAATGTTTTTACTTCTTCTTGTATTCCATCTTGATCATAAACAACTGAATCATGGATATCTAAATCGTAGACAGCTAAATCAAGTACAATCGAATCATGGACAGTTGAATCCTGAACAACCGAATCATGGGCAGCTAAATCATGGACAGCTGAATCGTGGACAGTCGAATCATGGACAGCAAATTGTGGACATTCGAATGATGGACAGCTGAATCATGGACAACTGAATCATGGACACTTGAATCATGGACAGTTGAATCGTGGACATATGAATCACGGACAACTAAATCTTTGACAGTTGAATAGTGACAGCTTGTGATTCTTGTTGATTCCCCCCCCCCCTCCCTTCATGACCAGGATGGACTGCTACTACAACTTGTTAAGCTTCTTGAGGAGTAGAAGATCCCATAGTTTCCTTACTCTTATTTAGTTGACTGATTCCAAGGCTTTCCAAGATGATTCTTAGGTTATTTGCTATATCTGAGGCTGATTGGGATAAATTCTTCACTTCATCCCAATTCTTCTCATTATAATAAGCCTCATTCTCCATAATTTTCACATCTTTTGAAATTAGAATCCTTCTTGCAACTGGATCATAACACTTATAATCCTTTTGTGTTAGAGAGTAGCCAATAAACATAGCTTTTGGGTTTTTGACATCTAACTTGCTCCTCTGTTCTTCTGATATCAACACAAAGCAGAGACATCCAAATACATGCAGATGATCCAAAGAGTTACTATTGCTGTTTAATACTTCAAATGGAGATAAATCATTAAAAAATTTAATGAGAATTCTATTGATTAGTTAACAAACACTCATCACAATATCACTTTAAAACTTTTTTGGAACATTAATATGGAATATCATTGATCTTGCCACTTCCATTAAATTTATGTAGAGAGGAACTCTCCTTTTAGTATAAACATAGAAAAATCAATGGTCATTTATTTAAATACTGTACAGAATCAGGTTATTTTGTGGATGTAACTTACCTTTATTATAGCTATAGAAGAAAATTTACAGTTAGCTTTGTTTATTCAATTGATTTTTGTTTTCGTTATGTATATACCGGATCCAAGACAGTTTTTGGTATAAGACACAACCATTTTTTATAATCAAAGTTTAGCATAGACGTATGTGAATAAACTTGCTATTAATAATTAATGGAAAAAATAGGATGGGGCATATCCGACACCCCTCTTAGGTAATATATTGGTGGGATGTCATTATTTAATATTCTAAAAAGAAATAACTCATCATAACTAATATTGGTGAAAAGGTAAATTTAAGTTTCAAAGATGAAAATCAAAATAAGGTTTTTTTTTTTTGTTAAAAGATTAAATCAAAATAAGGTTGCTTGAAAAGAGAATACAACTTCAAAATTACGAAGTTCAAAAAAGTTTTTAACCTTTTCCATAAATGGCGATTTCTTGAAGGCTAACATTTACTTTGAGTTCTAGAATTTCGTACATTTACAATTTTTTACCCCCTCTTTTTCCATAGATTTTAGGGCTAGGGAGAATTTTGAATGAACATGCAATAAATGAACATACACGTACATGCATGCTAGCATATGTATTTATTTATCTTACTAAAGAAAACATACGAGAAAGAAATTACCTGAACTGGTATAAAATCAAATTCTAAATATTTCAAAAGGTTTTTTTTTTAATTTTTTGTATAATATTTTTGACCTAACAGTAGCCCATACAAATTCACAAAAAGTTTCGGAGAACAGATATTATATTTTTAAATGTATACTAAAGGTAAAAGGGGTTACCGGGAAAGTGAATTTTAAAAATTTAATAATTTAAATACTCTACTGTTATTGATTTATTAATTTAAATACTCTACTGTTATTGATTTAATGATTCCTTTTTGGAAAAAAATAATGCATTGGAGATAAAAAAAAGTCTAGAGTACGATCTATTACAGGTCCAATACATTTAAATGAGTTCTGAGACAATTTTTTGCAAGAACATCTTCCTTATAGAGTACTTAGCCCTAGGAATAAAAGAAAATGAGACATCAACAAACAGAACTGAAAAGAGACTGGAAATGTCGTGAGCGATCCCATAAATCTCTTTATCGAAAAGCTTGTTGTTCAATATTCTTATAAGTGTTTGGTTGTCGGAGAAAACCCTGATGACTGTTGTAGCTGCCGAGATGAGGGACGATTTAACGGCGATTGCTTCCCCTCATTAAAGGAAAGCTGACTGTTGTGGATACTTAAAGTCTAAATCAAACCTTTTGTTATTGGTGTGATGCTTTTATAAATCTCCTGAAATCTTTTGTTTTTTTGTAACAACATAACTTTATTAATTAGATTGTAAATAAATTACACAAATACAAAACACAATAAATAATATAGATAAATGATGCATATTAGAAGGATAGAATACAAGGAATAGCTTGAGAAAATGACTCTTTGAGAGGTCTTGACTAATAGAGTAATATACTTTATTAATTTTTTGTGATTTTAAATCTTTGTCGCATTATAAACATCGTTTCTCTTTGTTGTATTACATTGATCATATTCTAATTTAGATCTATATATATTCTTCGATCTAGAATCTAATGTATTAATTCAACTGTAAGAAATAAATATTAGAAAAAACAAATTTCAAGGATTATACATATATTGCCATAGAAAAAAAAGACTATATATCTTGTACTGTGTGTTGTCTTCTTCTCCGTCTTGCTTCCATCTTTAGATCATATTATGCATCTTGAATCTATGGTGGGTTCTCTGATGGCCGTTGTTTCCATTACAAATCCGATAAGATTTGTTTCAATCATCGGATAGTCATCACCCACTAATGATAACCACTAGAGACTAACATAAAACCAACAATATATGTCAGATTGACAAGTACTCAGCAATAAATGCTGGAAGATACCGAACGTACACTACAAGAAAACACCGCGATTCTGACGAACATTCCGACGGAAAATGTATTCCTCGGTAAATTCTGAGGCAATCCCGAAGAAACCCAAATTTTGGGTTTCCTCGGAATATACCGACGGAACTCCGAGGAAAGTGTATTCCTCGGAAAAAAACGACGAAAATCTGAGGATATATTATAGCCGTTGGGGGATTTTAAAAATTCAGAGGAAATTCCAAGGAACTAGCCGTTGCCGTCAGAATTCCGTCGGAATTTCCTCAGAATTGTCGGCACATTTCATCTATAAATACAAGCACCCTCATCCTCTTCATTCACTCCATATCTTCATCCTCTCACATACAATATTTACACACGAATTCGATTGAAAAAAACATGTGTTCTTCTAATTATTATTGTTCTTGGATCGATCGACCTCATTTGGATCCTAACACGAGATTGCTTACGGAAGAGTACCAAAGATGTTTAGGCGAATTCATGGCATTAGTTCAACGAGAACCGAAAGCAAAAACGGGTATGTTAAGATGTCCTTGCTCTACTTGTATAAATAAAAAGGTTATAAAAGAGTTAGATGCTTAGACTCATCTATATTTGAGAGGGTTTACACGAAGTTACAAAGTTTGGTATCATCACGGAGACACTGATTATGAATATGGTAGTACTAGCGAACCTCAGTCTGCGGTTGGGTTAGAAGAACCAATTAGAACGGAGGTAAATTATGGTGTAGGTACTGAGCAGATGGTAAATGATCATTTAAGAGGGGAAGATTTACCCAATGTAGAAGCTATGAGATTTTTTGATATGTTGGATGCAGGAAAGAAACCTTTGTACGAAGGTTGCAGAGATGGTCATTCAGCTTTATCATCTGCAACAAGACTGATGGGCATCAAAACAGATTATAATTTGGCTAAAGACTGTGGATGCGATTGTTAATTTTGTATATGATATTCTACTTGAGGATAATGTAGCCTCTGGTTCATACTACGAGGTTCAGAAACTGGTAGCTGGTCTTGGTTTATCGTATCAGGTAATAGATGTATGCAACGATAACTACATGATTTATTGGAGGGCGGATGAGCAGCTGGTTACATGCAAATTTTGTGGGAAGGCTCGTTATAAAGATACAAGTGGAAGATTTCCAGTGCCTTACAAAAGGATGTGGTATTTGCCTTTGATGGGAAGGTTGCAGAGGTTGTATCAGTCTGAACGCACAGCACAACCAATGAGATGGCATGCAGATGCAAAAACTTGGAAGCATTTCCAATCAACATATCCAGATTTTGCGTATGAGAGAAGAAATGTCTACCTTGGATTATGTACGGATGGTTTCAGCCCATTTGGCAAGCATGGGAGACAATATTCTCTATGGCTAGTCATTCTTACACCATACAATTTACCGCCAAACTTGTGCTTGCGTTGAGAGTTTTTGTTTCTCTCCATTTTCGTTCCTGGGCCAGAGCATCCTAGGAGATCACTTGATGTGTTTCTTCAGCCACTAATATATGAGTTGCAACAACTATGGGCTCAAGGTGCTGAAACATACGATGTTCCGTGTAAGGAAAACTTTCAAAAGCGGGCAGTACTTATGTGGACAATAAGTGATTTTCCAGCATATGGTATGTTATATGGATGGACAACGCATGGAAGGCTATCATGTCCATATTGTCAAGATAACACTGATGCTTTCCAATTAAAACACGGAAGGAAAACGTGTTCGTTTGACTGTGACAGGAGATTCCTACCACCTGACCATCCATATCGTAGGAGTAGAAATTTGTTTACGAAGAACAAGAGGGTGTTTGACAGTCCACCTCCAGAAATTTGTGAGGCAGATTTGTTGACACAGCTAAGGGATTTTGGTTCAGAAAGGACGCCAGACGTCGGTGGACATGTGCATTATCCGGTAGATTCTGTTAGAGAACTACATAACTGGCACAAAAAGAGTATTTTCTGGGATCTGTCATACTGGAAGGATCATCTGCTGAGGCATAATTTAGATGTCATGCATATTAAGAAGAATTATTTTGACAATCTCATGAACACGATCTTTAACGTTCAAGGTAAAACAAAGGATAATTTGAAGTCAAGACTGGATTTACTCGATATATGTGCTCGTTCAAAACTTCATGTTGATGAGAATGGTAGGGCTCCTTTTCCTATATACCGACTGGATGCAGAGGCAAAGAATGCGTTCTTTGAGTGGATTTCAAAGGATGTGGAATTTCCAGACGGTTATGCATCAAATTTACGTAACTGTGTCGACAAAAACGAATGAAAGTTTATCGGCTTGAAGAGTCACAATTGCCATGTAATGATACAGCGTCTCCTTCCGTTTGCCTTCAAGGAACTATTACCACAAAATGTTTATGAAGCAATTGCAGGGATAAGTGCTTTCTTCCGCGATTTATGCACGAGATCAGTGACTCTTGAAGGTATTAAAAATTTGAAGACTAACATAGCTGTGATCCAGTGTAACCTTGCAAAGATATTTCCTCCATCATTTTTTGATGTTATGGAGCATCTTGTTATTCACCTGGCAAGAGAATTGGAACTTGATGGTCCATTGCAGTATAGATGGATGTATCTGTATGAGCGGTATATGTTTCATCTGAAGAAGATGGTGAAAAATTTAAGTAGGGTATAAGGTTCTATAGTCGCACAGATGATCAATGAAGAAATTTCAAACTTTGCCGAGTACTACTTTCCAGCAGAAGTGCAGACCAAAAACAGAAGACTTGCTCGACATGATGATAGAGGCGAAATGGAAACATATTATGTTACGGTTCCCGACATCTTCACATATGTTGGGCGACTTAGCGGAAAACCAAAGGACCGTCGACTTAATGAGCAGGAGCACAGTCATTTGCAAACATATTTGCTCACCAACTGTGAAGATGTTCTTCAATATGAGAGGTAAATAAATTTAAAATTTAATTTTAACAAGTTGACATTTAAATCTTAATTAATTAATTACATTATTGTATATGTACAAGATTTATATGACAGAAAAAAGCGGTTCGAACATAGACACGCCACAGAGGAGGAACTAGAAGAACTAAAGCAAAAAGAATTTGCTGGATGGATGTTTTCTTATGTGAGTGCTTTAAACAAATTATAATAGTATTTATCACATATTTATACTAATTCACATATATTGAATGACATAATTTCTATTAATAGGTGTATGCTGGTATGGCGTGAGG